TCTGTTCATTTATTTGGCTCTTCAGTGACCTGATAAAGGATTCATGAGCTTTAGGATTCCAAGATAGAATGTGTTTGCTGAACAGAAAAGTTGGAAGGAAACTACAAGGATGGGTCTGAAGGAAGTTGGTTTGGAATGGAGACACCAATCTCAGAGACTAGCAAGTGACTTTCCTCAAAGTAGATCATATATATTGACATCAACTTTCTGAGCCAGAATCACAAGTCAGCAAAATTATGACATGAGGCCAACTTCTCAGGCAGATGACATGTTGTGTCTCTCATATCATCTTTTAGGTCCAGAGTGGCTACACATACCACCCATCCTACTGGGTAGAATATTTGGATTATTAAGACAAATAATTCTAGCCATGCACCTCATTGTGGTGTCTCACATATGTGGTCTTTTATATATCATGTCATGAATGCCCTTCTTTCTCTTCCTGGCAAATTCTGAATCACCTTCTAAAGTCTAGCTCATAAATTATTTTATTCAATAAGTGTTTGCTAAGTTTGTACTATGACTTTGGCCCTATGCTATGGTACACAAAGACAGCTCTCTCTCTCTCACAGTGCTTAGTCTGTTGGGAAACTTCAATGAAACAAGGTGAGTATTGGGTTACTATGAGCAAAAAAGTGGAATGGAAGTCCACAGGATGACAAAGCATCTAGTCTGGAGGAACAAGGGTATGAGATATGTGATATTTCAGGTGAGAACTGAGGTACTAACAAGAGTTAGCCAGGTAAAAGCAGGGAAGAAAGGAACATGACAGACTGAAGAAACATCCCAGATAAGCATATGAGGTACTTGATGTGTGGCTGACATGGCTGATATATTGTAAGAAACAAATAGCCATTATAGCAGTAAGCAGGACCACATCACATAGAACTTTTAAGGCCAGGGTTTAATTTTGGATTTTATTCCATGTTCAGATGAGTTCCATAAAATGGTATTAAATGGGTAAGTGACATGATCTGGCTTATAATTTAAAAGAAAAGTCTAGTAATCCAGGCGAAATCTTACGATGGAAGCTTGGGCTGCTGGTAATGGGAGTGCAAAGGAGGGAATAGAAAATGGGGTTTAAGTTGGAGGCTGAGTTTATAAGATTTTCAGTTGTGCTGGGTATGGAGATGAGCAAGATTCAAGAATACCTCCTAGGTTTTTGGCCTGAGCATCTCGGTGAATGCTGCTTCTATTGACTAATAAAGGAATGATTGAGGGAAGAATTTTGAAGGTTGAGGGAATAAGAATTTTGCTGTTAATATGACAAAAAAACTGGTTTGAAAGAAGGAAGCTAAAGACATCAGTTTGGCAGTCACCAGTACGAAGAAGGTGTGGTGACTTTCATATACGCCAACAATGTTTTTGACTCTCTGTGTCCCTCCTCTTACTCTATCCTGACCTTAGGTATGCTGCATGATTTCCCAGGCTAGGAGAGTAAAAGCTATGCAGCTTCCACCTGGTTCTTTTGGAACATTTGTTCTTCAGAGACTCCTTCTGGAGATGTTCTCTTTCAGAACCAAGATCACATGCTGTGAGAAGCCACAAGGAAAAAACATGTGGAGATTCTCAAGACAACAGATGAACTTGTCCTTCAACCTTAGTAGCCCATCTGGCAGACATGTGAGCAAGGTTCCCATTGCCAAGTCAAACTGCATCAGCCTCATTCATCTTCTCAGCTTAAGACCCGACTTTTGCCTTTCTGAACAGAACTGGAACTGGGCAATTAACATGTTTGTCTCTTACTCTAGAATCCCCTGCCATATGGAGCAGGGAAGTGAACCCTTCACTCCAAGATGTTCTAGTCAATGAAGTCACCCTCTGCTTGTTTTAGTCATCTTATCTGTAGTCTTAGACATCATGGAGGAGAGGCAAGTCATCCTTGCTGTCTTCTGTCCACATTTTTTTTTTTTACCTATGTATGGACAAGATGATATGGTGTTATTTTACTTTGGAGTGGTTTGTTACACAATAAAAGATAACTGGAATATGTGGTAACTGAAACCATCAAGAGTAATGAGATCACTCAGGGAGAATGTGGAAAGGGAAACAAGAACAGGGGAAAGACTGTAGGGAGCCCCAAGCTTTTAAGGGAGGGGAGGGAAGAAGTTTAGTGGAAAAATATGAGAAATAGAAAGGTGGCAGAGGGAAAACGTGGGGCTTCCAGGAGACTGTGGTGTCATGGAAACTAATGAGTATGTTTCAAGGATGAAGTAGTTGTTAACTGTCAAATGCTGCTGAAGGGTCAAGTAAGATAACTAAAAATGCCTTTTGGTTTTAGTAACAAGGACAGTGGTGACTCAGCAGGAGCAGCTTACTGAGAGCAGATAACAAAATTAGCATTCTTTGAGAAGAGAGTAGAGATGAACAATAAGAAAAGGGGCTGGCCTTATACTGAAAGGAAGCTACTGTTTTTCTCTGACAGAAGAGAAGGGAAACCATGTAGATCCCACTAAGTCTATTTTGTCATAGGAGGTTAGGGAGTCTCCTTCTGGGAATTTGTGTTCTCTCCTGAGTTAAATGTTTGGAAGGAAAAAAAAAGGAGAGGTGTTTGTTTTCATTCTGTGCTCTTAGCTTAGGTGGGGTCCCCCTGCCTGGCATCAGGATCCCTATAATCTCCTCAATTTAAGATCCAACTTTTTCCATGCACCGAATGGAGTTGGGCAACAAATAATCTTGCATCTCATCACATACATGAGACCTTGCCACAAGCAGAGCAAGGATATTAGGGTGGGGTTGGGGAGCCCAAGAGTTCACTGCTAGAGGTATAAATATAACCATAAATTCCTCGGTTTAGTCTCCAAGCATCTTTACTTAGTATTTAGTCAAATTCTTTTGAAACTGCCTACCCATCTGAATTGTATCACAGGGATCAAAAGGATGAGATTTGTGCACCCAGAATCAGGGTGGGTTCCCAGATGTAGTGATAGGGCTGAGCATCCCACCAGGAAGCTGTTGAAAGGGATATTTTGTTGATTAGGTTCTGATCATGATCTGATTTTACTAATGGGGAAACTAAGTCTCATCTCAAGGAAAGGACTTGCCTAACATTACACAGCAACTGGAATGAAATTAAACCCAGTATAAAATCCATGTACCCATTTTCCTCAGTGATTTTTCCTTGATACTCATTATTAGAGCTGAGGTAGAAGGGAGGTAGAACAGGTAAGTTGCCCCATCATTTGTGACAACATAGATAAAACTGAAGATCATTATGTTTAAGCAAAATAAGCCAGGCACAGAAGGACAAGTACCACATGATCTCACTCATATATGAAATCTGGAAGGACAAAACAAATGAACAAATCCCCAAAACTCAAGTACATAGACTTATTTTAATAGTCATTTCACTATTGTGTATTTATCAAAACACCATTCTATATACCTTAAATAAAAGATATTTAAAGGAAAAAAAAAAGAATAAGAAAAGATTGGAGGTTCTATAAGGCTGTTTTTCCACCAACAAGGGCAAGGTGCTTTTGGCCTCACTCCAGCAGATGGTCACTGATGAATGCTTGTGGGCTAAAGGGCTACCTCCAATTCTTGGATCCCTTTGACAGCATTTTTCCCAATTGAGTCCTTCCTCCTTCAGTCTCCTTACTATTCTTTCCTGCTGGACCTTTTGCAAGGCTTCAGAGTTTTCAGAGTGTCTTTTTTGCAAGCTATCCTGGGATCCCGCTGAAGGGTGTCATAACACAGATGCATACTGGATGGGCCAATGGATATGTCTGAGGTATTTAGGCAGGTCTAGTGCTCAGTCATGCCTTCTCTTGTCTTCAGTAATTTAGCAAGAGGTACTAACAGATCCTTAATGAATCCCCAGATTTAAAAGCCCATAGGAGCAAACAATTATTTAATTAGGATGAAGCTATTTAAAGTGGCTTAAAATAGAGCACATTTATTAGTACTTGGATGCTCCCAGAGCTGCCTTAGAAGACTGCACATTGGGTTTGTTTATTTCCATTAGTTTCCATTGATCATGATTTGGCTAGTCTCTTCTCGAACACCACAGAAGAAATTCTCCTCCATGTAGTTAGCATTCAGTTATTCAGTAAATACTTACTGTTTTCTATGTGGTACATAGTCCTCTAGCAGCCTCTAGACTGGTACCTTCAATAATCTGCTTGGATCTCTCTGTCATGTTCCTAATACCATAAAATACTCCAACCCACGATATTGAGATTTAAATTTTTGTGGATCTCAACAACAGAAATGCTGATGGGAAAAGTTTGAGCTTTCCCCTATGACTAGAGGCGTAATTTTTAGAGGCAAGGTGGTTTCAGAAGGTTTTTAAGGAAACAACACTTAAATCTTGGTAATTAGACAATTTTATATAAGAGGTTGCCTTCTGTGTCTTGTAGTTGTTTTTGGAATGTGACTGAACTTGTCAGGGACTAGAATTACTGTAGTAATAGCACACACATCAGATGATCACAGGGTTGGAACACGCCTCAAGGATCAGATCATCCAAGTCCCTTCCTTTATTTTAAATGAGAAAACCCTTTTTTTAAGATCTGAAATTCTCTTCCCATCCTTTAGGACCCAAATACTTTTCCCAAGTAAATCTCTTGAGATTATTTCCCAGATTTCTTCTTACTCTGCAATATAAAGAATCATTTTCCATTTCTCAACACTCACTCTCATTCTGCCCAATAATACTAAGAGAACTATTGCCTAAGGGAAATAATAATCAATGGAAAAGAGAAAGCCTTTAGAATTATAATGACAGTATCTTTCTTTATTCCCAGGGAGTTGATGAATATAGCATAGGAAGCAACACATCTGTTTCCTTCTCTCTTATAGTGGCCAATAAGACCATTGAGTGATAGAAGCTCTGTTTTTACATGGGCTCCATCACTGGAATGGTGTTCTTGCTTTGAGATAACTTTCTTCCAGCTTATTCTAATGGTGTTAAGAAGTGTAAGTAAGGGTGGCACAAGAACAGGGGTGTACTGTCTGCAGTAGGCAAAGAGTGACCAATAAAAGTTCTCCAGCCCAAGTACAACTCAGAAAGGGTTTAATAAACAGCCGCTAAACATTGCACCAAAGCATTTGGAAACACAATTTCTACAGAGAGGCAAAGGTCAGGCTTCCATTCTAAATCCTTGACAATCAGTAACAGCCCCGCCCACCCCCACCCCCCATCCCCACTTATCCACGAAACTACACTCTTCTAGTCATGAATTTACCTACAGACACAGTCTTAGGAATAATGGGACTGGCATGCATTATCCCAGCAATGGCAAGGAAGCAGGGGATGGGGGAAGGATGGATGAAAGGGCAACCAGCAGCTAATGATACACCCCTTAGGAGCTTTGTTCAGGGGGCGGGCAGGGAGAATCTGCTTGTAGTGCCATCTGTGGCTTTACCTTGAACTTCCAGGATACTCTGCACTAGTGAAATATTCAGATCCAAAGTGTCTAGAGCTGTGGACTTAAAGAATCTCATTCTTTAAGTCATGACTATTACAGTGGTCTTCTTGGGGGATGCATTATAACTTTCTAAAGACCTTTTTGGTATCCCAAAAATGTGCACTCATGACCCAGAAAGCTCACTGACATTGTGTTGATCCTGAGTCACAGTGGACTGACTTCTCGGTTCTTTCTTCATTTTGGCCTTTGGAGAGAGGCATATGATAGTTCTTTATTAAAGATACTTGAAGGGACCCTAGACAACTATTCAAACTTCTGGGACTCAATTTATCTACTTATAAATTTTTTAATTTATGCCTGTCCCTTTTACTCACATTAAAATTAAGAATGAATGAGATTAAATGGCCTGTAAATAATTCATTATAAAACTGGTAATAAAGTTAATGATTTAGTTGACTCAAAGTTAACTAGAAATATTTGTATGAATCACCAGTTTGCCCCTCATAAGAACTGGCATTCACAGATGACCAGAAGTGCCTGACATGGTGGGAGCAAAGTGCCTGAGATTGGGAAGGGTGTGGATTTTGGAGGATATGGAAGGAAAAACTTGACTTGATCCTGCCAGTGACCCTTTCATTTGCACCAGTCTTCAATCCTTAACTACCATCAACCCCTCTAATCACATCCAGTATTTGACTATTGCCTTAGCAAAAGAGGTAATTTTCTTATCTTTCCCCACTTTTAAAAATTCTCGTAGAAGCATTCAATGTAGATGGTTTTTTTTGTTTCTGTTAACATCTTTTTGTTTAAAGGCATTGAAGAGAAATTTCCTGGAAGAGAGCTATACCAAGCACAAGTGTACTTTCCTGAGGGGCTGAACCTCACAGGGCTACAGCCATCTCAGTGCCAGTCTGGCCCAGTGGGTTTTATTTGTTTTGACCATACATGGTTGATAGTTTTGAGCCTTCATTGTCCTCACTAACTTCCAAGCCAAGAAAGGGATTGGGGATGATAAACACAGGTTAGTACTTGCTTCTGCCTTTCCTACCAGTTCTTATGCTGTAGGCAGAAGAGGTGGCAGACAGGACTATGTGTGATAGGCCTGCCTGGCTCCCAAGTGAGTAAGAGTTGTCTGGTCTAAACCAGTCAACAAATCTTCTCAGTCTATACCTCTCAAATAGCAAAGGCTACCACTTTAGGGAGCAGAGTCCCCAATTCTTTCTGCAGTGGGCAGAGTGCAATAAAATACATGCAGTGCCCTCAGCTGGGGGAGACTGGTAGACTAAGATGAGCAACTGGACAAATGGCAGTGTTTGGCTCAGATGGGGGAACACTAAGCAATGTCAGAGGGACGAGTAATTTTTCTGTCGTTGAACTTTCATTGAGATTCATAAATATGAATTGAGAGTCAGAGTTTGGAAGGGGTGAAAAAGAAAAATCCTGAAACACACAGAGGGGAGCCCAGGGGTTTAGATGCCTGGATGCTTCATGGGGTATGCAGTGCTCTGGTTGCCGGGCCACCACCACTATCTACTGTTTGCGGATCATGCCCTTGATCGCTGACTCCCGGTTCACATATGTGGCCCAATAGACCAGATTGAATATGGCAAAGAGCACAGGAAAGATGATGCGGGAAATTTTGTCAACCTTGCTGACACTGTTGTAGGTCTTCGTCTCAGCAGGGCTGTCCTGCACATAGGTAGCCTTGGGTGAAGCAATAATTGTCGGAGTTGAGGAGGCACTGGGAGTGGCGCCCTTGGAGATGGTGGAGAACTCAGTGTCCTTGGCCAGGTTGATGGGATAGGTGGTCCCCACAATGTTGAAGGTGGTGCTTGTTTTCTTTGTTGGTGCTGCTGGTGTTTTCTTCTAGAGGTTGGGAAGGGGAGAAGAGGGGAGGAGGGAAGAATAAAACAGAAGCTAATTAATTCATTATACACAGTACCTTCAGTGGCTACAGGAAGGAGGAGCTATGAGGGAAATTAAGAAACAGGGGCCATGAAGCCAATACATAGCCAGGATTTTGTCTAGGGTGAATTGAAGATGAGTTTGAAAACAGAAAACACGCATCATCCTGGCTCACTAGCTATGTGGCTTTGTCTGAGTCACTTCTCCTCTCGTAGCTCCAGTTTCTTCATCTGTAAAATGAGGATCAAAATAACTGGCAGGTTGTTGAAAGGATCAGATGATAGAATGGTGGTAGCAACCACAGGTTAACTACAGACTGTTAGTCATAAGTGGGGCCTTATATATTATATAGTTTGATAGATGAGAAAACTTAGCCTCAAACTAAATGTGTGAGCTCATACTAGCAACCTGGACTTTTGTTTTTTATCCATGGCTGCATTATGCTGCTTTTTATAGACAAGAGACATTTTTGGTTACCCAAGAAATAACTCCAAAAGAACATAATTTCTAAGTGGTATATCTTCCTTGAGGAAGAGAGCTCGGTGAGTCCGCAAAGTCATTTTGTCTTAAAGGCACAATAAATACTATGGTATGTATACATGCATCATTATGACAAACATCCCAGCCTTCATGCACTGTAATGTATTCAACAAGGTTGGGAACACACCAAGGTTTTCCACTCTTGCCAGATTTCATGCAGGAGACACAGCCTCCCCAAAGGGCTATGAAAATGACCTTTCTGAGACAGCAAAGGCAGAGACAGCAAAGGCAGAGACAGCTGAGGGCTTGCTATGGCATTGCCCTTTGGGCTTATGTTTCAGAGTAAAAACACCCAAAGTGGCAAAGGGAAGCAAGCAAACACACATGCCCATTTGTCCTCACATTATATGCACTCATGTACACATGGAGCCTCACTAGAATTCCCCTGTTGCTGAAGAAAAAAGAGGTGACAATATTTAGGTTTGAATCAGAACAGAGACACTTAGGGGCAGGGAAAGCAAGGGAGCAGGGCAGCCCTCATCTCTAGCCAAAGGCAGGGGCCTGGCTCATGGGCTATAGGCTACATGCTGCCTCATTCCTCACTCTAACCTATTCTTTCCTCCATCCCTCTTTGGCTTAGAAATGCTCCAATTTCAGCCACCTCACATTTCCTTTCTTGATGTTAATTTGCTTCTCAGAACTCAGGCTTTGTTTCTTTACTCCTCTATTTCCTACTTGTTTACATCCTAGCTGTCTCTATTCCTACCCTTTCTTATTGCCCCTTTCTCCTAATCTCTTTAATTTCTTTTCTTCTTTGCTTTAGAGTTCCCATGATTTTTTCTTTTCTCCTTTCAACCTCAGTGCCATTTACCTTCCTGATCCTAGTAATAACTTTTGCTCAATATTTACTAAATGTCTACTGGGTCAAGAAGGGTTAAGTGGAAAGGTTAAAAGGTAAGAGAGCTTTAGTCCCTGTCTTCTAAGAGTGCACAGACCAGTGTGGGAGAGAGCCTTGTGAACACTGTCATAGAATGTAATCAGAGTTATAATAGATTTGAGCAAAGTGTTATGAGAATTCAATAAAAGGCGGGGGAGCAAAAACTAGGAGGTATAGGAAAAGGTGGCTCAGAGAAAGCAGTGGGTTTTGTGGTGTGGCTCACAGAAGATGAGCAGGAACTCATCAGATGAAGATGTACCAAAGGCCACTACATAGGCCAAGGGCAGTGTCTGAGGGATGTCAAGGAGTTTGTAGAGGCTGATTCACAGTGTGCATGGCAAAGAATTGCATAAACTAAGGGTGTGCAGACAGGAAGAGGTCAAATCCCAAAAGGTTCTATATGCCATGTTCTCCCACTCAGCCTGCCTATACTGATTTCAGTGTTTTCAATCAGGAAGGGCAAGCATCAAAGATGAGGGGGTGTTGATTTAAGAAAATGAACAGTCTGACTAGCAGAACATTTTAAAAGCAATGCTTTTTTTTTTCTTTTTCTCTTTGAGGATTGCATCACATTGCTATAAGGGGAGGGTGGGGACAGAACTCTAGGGCTTCTAAGAACCTTGTAAATGCTTTAAATACTACATAAGACTCATTTATAATTAGCAAAGTCATTTTGTGAATAGAGTCCTGCTGTTAAATGCTTTTGCTCTTAAATATAATAGTGCTTTACTTGTTTGCCTGCTTACTTATTAATTTGTTTAGTAATCCTGTTTTTAAAATAGGAATACCAAGAAAGAAAAACAAAACCACTGCCCTGATTTTGCTAGAAAGCTTTCATGTTATAAGCTGGTTATGACCAGGTCTCTGAAATAATAATTTGAACAACAAACACTTTCTTTAGCTCCATAGGTACTTTGTGTTCTATAGATGAGGAGAAGAAGGAGTCAATCCAATCACACATATTTTTAAGAAAGGAAAATTATCTTTTAATTGCACTCACCATTTCCAACAAAACATATATTAATCAGTCAGTGTATTTTTTACTGGCATTGTCAAGGAAGAAAATTAAAGCAAACGTTTTAGTATTGAGGAGGAGTTGCTTATTTTCTTGCAATTGAATTATATTGGTTCCCTATATGTTTGGGATTTTAATCTCTTATTACATTCATGGTTTGCAAATATTGTTTCCCATTCTGTAGGTTGCTTTTTCACTGTCGGTTGATTTTTTTCTTTGTAGTTACCATGAGACTTACATTACATTATAACATGCTAGTTTAGACTGATAAAAACTCTATACTTTGTGTTCCCATCTCCACTAATAGTTTGTTTTTGATTCCACAATTTGTATCTTTTTATATTGTTATCTTTTTCTGTTTTAGATTTTTTATTGATTGTTTTAATTATACATGACAGTAGAATCCATTTTGATATAGTTCTACAAAAGTTATATTTTAACAAATTCTCATAGCTGTTATTTTTAATAGTTTCATCTTTTAACTTTCATACTAATGATGTAAGTGGTCTGCATATCACCATTACAGTATTAGAATATTCTAAATTTAACTTTTAGCAGTGTATTTTATACTTTCATATGTTCTTGTGTTACTAATTAGCAATTTTTCCTTTCAGCTTGAAGAACTTCCTTTTTCATTTCTTATAAGATGATTCTGGTGGTGATGAACTCCCTCAGCTTTTGTTTGTCTTAGAAAGTCTTATTTCTGCATTTCTGAAGGACAGCTTTGCATGATACAGTATTCTTCATTGTCATTTTTTTTTTCTTTTGGCACTTGGAATTTATCATCACTCTCTCTTCTGGCCTGTAAAATCTATACTGAGAAATATACTATGATATATTGGAACTCCTTTACATGTGAGTTTCTGTTTTTTTCCCCTTTCAAGATATTCTCTGTCTTTTATTTGCAATTGTTGACTATGATACATTTCAACCGAGTTTTGTTTGCAGTGAATCTGATTGGAGGCCTATGATCTTGTACCTGGATATTTATTGTTCTCCCCAGATTTGGAAAGTATTCTGCTATCATTTTTATTTAAATAAACTTTATACCCCATCATTTTTCTTTTTCTTCTCAAACTCCTATGACTGTAGGATTTGCTCCTTTGACGCTGTCACATAAATCTTATAAGCTTTCTTTGTTGCTTTTTATACTTAATAATTTTCTTCTCTAAATGTGTATTTTCAAATAACCTATCTTCAGGTTCACAGATTATTTTTTCTTCTTGTTGAATTCTGTTGTTGATGTTCTCTATTTCATTCCATTTTCAATTTAAGAATTTGTTTCATTTTTTAACAAAATACTTTCAATATCTGTTAATTTGATATTTTTGATCATTAATCATTTTCCTGATAACACTGAATTGTTCCTCTGTATTTTCTTAAAGTACACTGAGCTTTCTTAAACCAATAATTTTGAATTGTTTTTCAGGCAATTCACATATCTCCACTTCTTTGAGAGATTTCTTTCTATGTGTTTCTTTTATGCTTTATTGTACTATTGTAGTAGAATATATCTTCCAATATTCCCCTAAAGCAGGATACCTGGGAGATGACATTTCTGTGTTCTTGCAGGCCTGAAAATGACTACTTTATATTTTCACTTAAGTGATACTTTGGTTATCAGTTGTTCCTCAGCTTTATGAGATTTACTGCTTCAGTGTTTTCCAATATCTAATATAGTTGAGAAATCTGTTTGTTATTTATTTGCAAATAAATTTTTTCTTTCTAGATAATGTATAGATTATCAATTTTGTTCCTAGATTTCTGAAATTTCATGAAGATGTGCATTTATGTAGGCACATAAAAACACTTATGGAGTCTGGAGTCTTAGGACTTTCCATGTAAATATTTCTGTATTAGTTCTTTCTTAATTTCCTTCCTTCCTGTTCATTCATTCTGTGATTTCTGAATTATATGAACTTCTTGGATTCTCAAAGTCTTGTACCTTAACTTTTCATCCCTACGTCTCTTACTTTTATGTTAACTCCCCTGCCTCCAACTTAATGGGTGATTTTCTTCCTTTTATTTTTCTACCTCACTATTAAAATTTTTATTTTGGCAAGTATATTATTTTAATATCAAGAACTCTTCTTTATTATTTGATTTTATTTTATATAACATCTTGTTCTTTTTTAATGGAAAATATATACAAATTTATGGTGAAATCCAAAATATAAGTTGGATTTGTTTTTCTTAATTTCTTTTTAATTCTTCTTTTATTTATTTATTTTTTGGTGCTGGGAATGAAATCCATAGCCTTGTACATGCTAGGTAAGTGTTCTACCACTGAGGTACATCCTCAGCCCCTTCTCTTTAATTCTTGATATTATCTCTGTTCTCTCTCTCCAAGACACGATGTTGTTGTCTTTTATTCTTTAAATCTCTGGTTCCTGTCTTACAATACAGTTTGGCTTGGTGGTCCAAAGTGGGTCACAGGGTGTGTGTGCGCCCTGGAAGGGTACTCCTCATCTTCAGCTCCCCTCCCTGCCACTTTCTCTCCCTCCCTCTCTCTATTTACTGGCTACCATGAGGTTAAGCCCTTTCAGCTGCCCTTTCCCTCCTGCTATGATGCTCTGCCTCAGTACAGGCACATAGCAATGGAGCCAGCTATCCATGAGTTGAAACCTCAGAAACCATGAGCCAAAATAAATCTTCTCCAGTAAGTTGTTTTACTCAGATTTTGTCACAGTGATGAAAAGCTGACTAACAATGAAGGGAAATCTTGCTTTTCATTCTGTAGAGCATGTATCTGGATGAATAATTTCAAATGTTGGACAGGCTCTGGAGTTTTAAAAATCTGTATACATGCTTTTAACCAATCCACCTAGTTGCACCTCTGTTCTCTCTATTGTGCCTGATGTATCTGAACATTGAGTTTCTCCTGGGTTCTGCCTTACTCCAGCTTGATAAATAATTTATTATTCCTTCGATTCATATTCAATTTTCTAAAGATGTATTCAAATGTTTTGTTTGACTGACAAACATTTTCCAGCTTTCCTGGTATTTGTGGCTTTATACCTACTTTATTAATTTACCGTCATTTTAGAGGTAATGTCAGAATAAGCAGTTATAAAACACATATACTTGATCCTCAGAAGCCCACAGTTCATTCATCTTTCAGAGTATAATTATACTGCAGTCATTTGTCTTCATTTAAAAATAAGGCTTTATTTTCATCTGTTCCATTTTCTCTTCTATAATCTTTCCTCCTACGTTTTATCTAATCCCTGACAATAATACAGATCAGAAATAAAATTTTAAATCAGTTATAATATTTTAAAACTTTCATGCTCACTCATTCTAGCTTTATAAAGCAAATAAGTTTTAATAACTCCCTCCAAAGGCAGAAAAAGGCTAAACTATGATTAAATTCTAGTATGCTGACTTCAAAGTACTTTATGCCTATTTCTATGAGTCTCACTGTTCCTACACATCATGGAAGTATAAAGTATAGGATCTTCACATTATAGATACATTTATGCATTCCATAGTTTATTTTTAAAATGTTACAATCTGCTTCTTATAGAGAATGTAAATATTTTGACCACAGGGAAGGCTAAGAAGGAAGACTAAGATCATCATCTTTTCAAAAAAGTTTTAGACCATTGTTTTTGTTCCTTTTTTAAAAAAAAATAATTTTCAACACTGTTTGGGTGGAGAAATGGTCATTATTTTTGACATCTACCTCAACAATTTCTCAGTCTACTCTACTTCTCTATGTTCAAACCACTTTAGTACCTCTTCCTGGCCACAAAAACAACAACAAAAACAAAAACAAAGAAACCAAAAAACTCAACCTCATTTTTTTCACAAGATATTCTTGGTAGCCTTTCAGATATCTATAATTAGAAATAACCACCTTCTTGAAGTGTTTGCCCCTCCTCCAGTATATCAATCAAATTGAAAGAGTAAACTTCACATGAGTCAACCTATACAGAAGAAAATGAGCTTATCATCGTACTTGTTATACATTTTAACTCAGAACTAAATCAAATTGCAATTCTTAAATGTTGTGCCACATGGTAAGTTTACATTTGAATTTCTCCCATCTTCCAACATTACATTTCTTTTTCTTTTACATTTATTTTATTTATTTATTTTATGTGGTGCTGAGGATTGAACCCAGAGCCTCACACTTGCTTGGCAAGTGCTCTGCCACTGAGCTACAACCCAGCCCCCCAAAATTACATTTCTAATGTGCAATCGTTTTTAAGATTTTACATCCCAGGATTTTTTATTTAAAAAATGTTGCCTTTTAGCTTTAGATTGTCCTTTCAAACTTCAGAAATTCTTTTTGATTTTTAATTCAAAAATATTCCTCTCCCAAGTTATTAACATTCACTAACACTCCCTTATAAATGTGAATCTTATTCCTTATGTGTCTTCATCCGAGTCATTGATGACAACATTTGAAGGGTTAAAAAAAAGCATGAATTATTCTCAGGGATCTCTATTCAAGTTAATGTCAATCCATCAGTGAATTCTATTTGAATTCAATTGGTCAACCAATTACATCAGCCTAATGATAACTATTTTTAACTACTTTCTATTCACCATGGAGGCATAATGCAAAGTTACTCAAATTACTTGATAAAATCTATGACATTTCCTGATCTACCAGCTCATTAAACCTTTTATAAAGGTCATAAGGTTAGTTTGTCATAATTTTCTCTTAGCAAACTCAGGTTATATATTCCTTATTATGTTAATTGCTCTTAAAATATCTGTTTAATAATATATTCTAGAAATATTTAAGTTTACTATGTTAGAGTTAGTATATCTTTGCTTCCTTTTCCTCTCTCAATCCAAATAAAACAACAAGGCAAATAAAGGAAACTAAAAATTTATCTTGTTTTTGTTTTCTTTTATGAAGTGCTGAGGACCAAGCCCAGGACTTTGCACATGCTAGGCAAGCAATCTACCTCAGCTATATTCTCAGTCCTAAAAATTCATGTTTTGATGAAACTTAAATACTTTTATAACCTTGATCTCAAAAAGTGGCTAGTATGGCTTCAGAGAGGAAAAAATGATCTTTGTTTTAAAATAAAATCAGTGTCATGCTGGTAGTTAAAATATTTTGTAATTATTTTTGACCACCATAAAGGTCAGAGAAGGTAAGGAGTGGAAAATTAAAAGATACAAAACCAAATGTTTACTGTTGGGCACATGCATGTACACATACATAGAAGTGTACCATATATAGAGTGCTTTCCTGTGAGTAAAGGAAACTTCTTGCAAGGTAGAAGCAGAATCACTACTCATAAGAGCTTATATAGACAATAAATGCTAGTCAAATATGAACTTGAGTCAACTTTTGTGCATGGCGAGAGGAAGGGATTCAGTTTCATTTTGTTGCATATGGATTTCCTGTTTTCCCAGCACCATTTGTTGAAGATGCTATCCTTCCTCCATTGCATGCTTTTAGCCCCTTTATCAAATATAGGATAGTTGTAATATTGTGGATTGGTTACTGTGTCCTCTATTCTATACCATTGGTCCACCCGCCTGTTTTGGTACCAGTACCATGCTGTTTTTGTCACTATTGCTCTATAATATAGTTTGAAATCTGGTATCGCTATACCGCCTGATTCACACTTCCTGCTTAGAATTGCTTTTGCTATTCTGGGTCTTTTATTTTTCCATATGAATTTCATGATTGCTTTATCTATTTCTACAAGAAATATAATGTGTCTGCTGTGCAAGGATACAGATAAGTCCCTGCCCTCAAGTTGTTCACAGTCTAACAAGGAGCCAAACAAATATTTTTAACATAAATAAATTATTTTAATATCAGAAGTACCCTCCCACATAAAAGTTAAACATCTCTAAATGATTCTAGAAAGGCTCTATGGAGAAAGTATCATTTCAATTGGCTCTCACCAAGCATGGGGGGCAGAAATAGCATTTCAGTGGAGAATAAAAAATAAGCAAATATGCTGGGTACAGTAGCACATTTTTTTCAGGAGGCTGAGGCAGGAGGATCACGAGTTCAAAGCCAGCCTCAGCAACTTAGCAAGGCCATAAGCAACTCACTGAGACCCTGTCTCTGAACAAAATGTTAAAAAGGGCTGGCACTGTGGCTTAGTGGTTCAATTCTTAGTGGTTAGACCCTGGGTTCAATCCACAGTGCCCCCCCAAACAACATTAACAACAATCAAACAAACAAAAATAAGCAAAGACAGAAGGAATGATGATCCATTTGGTTTGACTGTAAGGTAAATGTACCGGAAGGTGATGTGCAGAGGTGGCTCTAGAGATTTTTCATTGGATTTAACATAGAGTGCAAGCTTCCAGGGGACTTTGTAAAAACAATGGGTTTCCCTTGAATCTAGCAGGATCACACTTACATTTGATGATGATAATGTAAACCCTCCATGGCACACCCTCTATGGACTGAGAACACCTGCTCTCTTTTCATTGCCGCCCCCCCCCCCTGCCCCTGACAAAACTCCAGCTTGCCAAGAAGCACTCCAGTTGAGAATTGGATTGATGACCCCAGTGAATAGCACACAGCCCTGCCCAGTTCCTGCAGGCTATAGGCTGCTCACTCCTGGTCTCAATATAGTTCTCTCAGGGAGTGCTTCCTAGCTCTCATTTGTTGTATCTCACCTTCATTTCCAGGGCTTCTGGTACCTTCTTGCCTTCCCAAGCCCAACTCCGCTTGGTAAAGTAGTTGACAGTGGCAAATTCAATCAGTGCAGAAAATACAAAGGCATAACAGACGGCTATGAACCAGTCCATGGCCGTCGCATATGCCACTTTAGGTAAGGAGTTTCTGGCACTGATACTCAAGGTGGTCATGGTAAGAACAGTGGTGACACCTGGAGAGAGATAATATGAGAGCAAGTTGCAACTGGAATGCGTTGAGAGTCTACTTGATGAGCTTACCAGATTCCTACTTGAAATGGTCCATTTAAAGTAAAATACACAGATATCAAAGCCGAATGGATGGGTCCACCTTGTAGTCACTCTATGTCAATTGGCACAGAGATAGGAATATTCAGTGCAGACCTTCTAACAGTTTTCCCTTAACCTGTACTTAAACATGTCTACTGAAGAGTAAAATTAGTTTATTTGATAATAAGAGAGTCTTAAAATTAGAAAAACCCACTTTTGAGCTGAAATTTGCATTCTCTTTAACTACCAGCCCACTGACTGCTCTTAGAGTTCCTTTTGTGACAAAAAGAAACATTCCACTCCCCCCTTTCCAGAACAGGCCTTCAGAGACCTGAAAAATGGGACCTATGATTTCCTGTGATCCTACTCATCTCCAGAATGGGTATGGAAACCCATGTTCTCCTTATGAAATTTTCTTGTTCACTGCCTTCCGCATCTTGGTGGTTCTATTCTGAATAGGCCAAAACTGAGTGCAAGATTCAGAACATGGTTTGAGGGGCTGGAGCTGTGGCTCAGTGGTAGAGCACTTGCCTAGCACGTGTGAGGCCTTGGGTTCAATCCTCAGCACCACATTAAAAAAATAAATAAAATGAAGGTATTGTGTCCATCTACAACTATTTTTTTAAAAGAACATGCTCTGAGATCTGTATGGTTTTCAGTTCTTTAATTCTAGACTTTCTTCTAATAATGAAATAATTATTATGGAAAATCGTCCTGTAGTCACACCACACTTTAGGTCTCTGATACAAAATCTGTGTCTTGTGAGTTTTTGTAAAACCAGAGCTTTTGTTTATATAAATTGATCTAAATCATTCACACTTGAAGAAGGAACAATCACAACTTCTTTCTAAGTGCTGACATGCTGAAGAGGATGGGAAATATGAGCCTTATGAGCCTGGGTCAAATAGAGCATGGAATGAAGTCATAATTCTATCCAGAGAGTCAACCATATGTGTTGCAGCCTTGGGGTTTCCATTCCCATCTTGCTCCATTGTGAACCTTACTTATATACTTGCTATATACATGACAATCCAGACTGGAACACGGACTCAGTGCGATTTAAATAGAGACCCTAAAAGAATACTTTGCATGAACTAGGTAGGGAGTCATCAAGCTGATTAGAAAAATAATACACATTTCAAGCCGTTAGGAATCAGCCATGTAACTAGTATCTATTTAAAATAATTTGAATGCATAATCTGGTAAACTCTAAGAATGAACCCAAGACTCAGTAACCTTCATATCATACCAAGGTAGGAGTAACTTAAGGAAAAAGAAGCTACTTCATTTATGGTTATCAGCAAACACAATTTTCCACCCTGGCACATGCACAGCACTGTGCATGTGATTAGCTGGAGAGAACAGAACTGCAAAACACATTTCTTCACTATATCTCAGTAGAGATTTTTTTAGGGTTTAATTAGAACTGTCATCTTATGGAGAGCTCTTAGCTGGTCAGATTTGGTAGACTCTTAATCAAAAATTCAGAACACTTTGTGGATGGGCAAAGAGAATCTAAGTATTTTAAAAAAGAGATCCAGCCTGTTAACCAGTGCTTTTCTTTCAAGACTCTTCTAGAAAGCTCTTCTTGAAAGGCTCAGGTAGCACTGACTGACCCTTCACTTCTTTTAAGCACTTCTAGTTCATTTACTTGATTACATGGGGTAGCCAAACTGCATGTGTGATCAGTGCAATGAAAATAAAATTGTATAGTCGGAACTCATTTGTTCCAGGCTTCCTTCACTTGGCATAATATTTTAGGTTCATTCATGTTTTTCATTTATCTTTAGTTATTCCTCTTAATTTCAGACAAAATGTATTGAAAGAATATAATGTATTCATGTATTCAGGGACATCTATTAATAGACATCAGGATTGCTTCCAATAATTGACAACTATAAACAAAGGTGTTTGGATGATCATATGTAAGTATTTGTAAGAGTGTATGCTTTCATTTTTCTTGGTAAATATCTAGGGATGGAATTGCAAGATCATATGGTGACCATATGTTTAGTTTCATATGACACAAGCTGTTTTTTAAGTAGTTGTAACATTTAAAATTTCCAGAAGATATAGGAGAGTTTCAGTCAGCATGCATCTTTGATTTATGAAAATTAAATATTAATTGGTACACTTATCCCTGATAGTGAAAGCCCATAGAGCATTTTATCTTCATGTATCACTAACTTAACTTATATAGATTATATTATAGTGTAGTATTTTATTCTAAACATGTTATTGACCCAATAAATCACTTGTTATTATTTTATACATTCAATTCACATTACCATTACTCATATTTTGTTTTATTTTCATTCTTGTTTTTAAATACACCTTCAACCTTCTTTCAAGGATGGTTCTCCTTTTGTTTGATAAATAACCTTTAGTGTTTCCTTGAGTGAGGATTGGATGGTAATGATGGATGCTTAGCATTTTATTTTATTTTTTATTTTTTGTCTAAAATGTCCTGTTTTTGTTTCTGTTGATGTCAGTTGTCAGTATGTTTGTTATCACTTTAAAGACAATGTGTTTTCTTCTAGGTTATTTTTAAGACCATTTTGTTCTTTTTGCTTTTTGTTTCCAGAAGTTTCACTATGATGTGTCTTTATTTTCATGTCTTAATTTATCCTACTTGATTTTATAGATTTTTAAAATGTTTATTGGTTATTTATACATAATAATTGGCTTCATTTTGACATAATTTAATTTGTTGTAACTCAGTCCCCAGTACTTCCCCTTTTCCATGCCTCCTCCCTCCTCTTGTTCCCTTCCCTTTACTGATCTATCTGCTATTTACTTACAGGTTTTCTTTTTTAAAGCAGTACTTTGTGAATATACATGATGTTGAGATTCACTGTGGTATATTCATATATGTACATAAGAAAGCTGGTCAGATTCATTACACTTTTCCTCCCTTATCCTGTCCCTACTTTATATCTTTCTTCAGGTTGTACAGTGATCAGCCAGTACCTCTTAAATTTTTCATCAGTACCATTCTCTCACTTCTCTTCTTCTAGGATTCCAATTAGGCCATCTCAAAAACATTGTATGTCTTTTCTCTCCTATGTATTTTACATTTGTGTCCTTTTAAGTTATCTTCTTCTGCCCTATCTTCCAATTCATGGATTATCCTTCCACTATGTATAAACCATTGAGATTTAATCTGTATTTTTCAGTTCTACAATTTCCAAAATTCTCTCTGTGTGCATGTGATATATTCTCTCTCTCTCTCTCTCTCTCTCTCTCTCTGTCTTTCCAACTATCATTCTCTCATTTAATTTCCATGCATCTACCAGATTTCTCACATTTCTTTAATCTACTTAAATATAGCCATCATGGCTTTTTGAAAGTCTATATCTAATAATGCAAATGTATATGTAGGAGAATACCAAGATTATAGGGTAAACATATTTTAAACTTTCAAAATATTTTTTTCACTTTACATTCCCACCAGTAGTGTCTTACAGTTCTAATTGTTCATGAAGCTCTCTAGTATCTGACAATATCAATCTTTTTAAATATGACCACGCATGTTTTTAAACTGATATCTCTGTGAATTTTTACTTTATGTTTCCCTGATAAAAATGATAAGGATTTTTTCATACACTTATGGACATGCATGTGTGTGTGTGTGTGTGTGTGTGTGTGTATAAAAAGATCCTTATCATTTTTATGTATGTAAAATTTATATATATGCCCATAAGTGTATGAAATATATCTATCTATCTATCTATATATATATCTTTATATCTATATCTATCTCTCTATATATCTATATCTATCTATCTATCTATCTAATTGGATTCTTTGCCTTTTAATCATTGAGTTGCAGGAACTTTTGATATTTTAGGAATATACGTACTTTATAAGTCTTATGCATATGCACAATGCTTTATCCAAGTCTATGCTTGCCATTTCATCTTCTTAATGTTACCCTTTGATTAACAGAAATTGTTAAATTTGATGAAGTTGAATGTATTAGTTCCTTTACTTTGGTGTTATTAATTTTTTTGCAATAAGGAATTTCTGCCTACCAATGATGCAAAGATATTACTTTAGATTTTCTTCTAAGAGCATCATTATTTTAGCTTTTATTTTCAAGTCTACGACCAACTTTAATTTAATTCTCTACAATGCCATCTTTGTGATAAATCAGGTTTCCAGACACATGGGCATGGATCTATTTTTCAGCTCTCTATAGTATTTCATTTATTTATTTTTCTTTTCTTTATGCCAATAACAAAGTCTTAATTACTATAGCTTTTTAATCATTTTTGACACTTTTGTGGGGAAAGTGTCTCTGCTTTGTTCTTCTTTAGAAGAATACTGGCTATTTTTGGCTCTGCATTCTTACATAAAAATTCTGCAATCACTTTTTAAATTAACATTTCAACTTGGAGGCTTTCACATCAATGCAGTTACTGTAAATATGAATTCTAAATTAGTTTGAGGCTAAGATTAAATTAAAAAATAAATTCTCAAGGAATTCCATATTTCACACAGAGCCCAGGCAAAAATAAAAATGCTTTTTTGTTGTCTCCTGCACTGATAAGTGTATTTTTCTAGTGCTCTCTTACATTGAGGGTATGACCCTTCAATGGTATTGAATTTATGGCCAGTGTCTTTGCATTAATGTCCTATACTTTTATGTAACAAATTGCCGGAAATTTAGTGACAAAACAGCACAAATTTATTCATACACTAGATGTCTGAAATAAATTTCATTGAGTTCAGGTCAAGGTGTCAGCAGAAATGCACTGCCTCTGAATTCTCTAGAAGAATAAACTGTTGACTTTTCTGTCTTCCAGAACTACACAATTTGGATTCCTTTTCTCATGGACCCCTTCCTCCTTCTTCATAGCCAACAGAAGAACATATTCCAATCTGTCCTATTTCTATCATCTCACTGCTTTTTTTCTCTGTAGTCAAATATCCTTCTCACTTTTGGAACACTTGTGATTGCATTTAGGGCCCATGTAGAAGGTACAGGATAATCTTCCCAGCTTTTGAACTTAATCACCTCTTCAAAGTTACTTTTGCCATTTAAGGTTATATTCACAAGTTCCAGGGACTTGACATGAATGTCTTTGGGGGCCACTATTTAGTGTAACACAACCTTAGTTGTAACCCCCAACTTTACTTAGGCTCCATGCCTTCCTTGAATAACCTTAAAACTAAAACTTTTTTTTAACCCAAATGGGTAATCCTTTCACTCATCTTCATACTAGAGTATCAGTTCATGTGATGGACACTGAACTTTTTAATTCCCTCTTCCATGGAGCCTTTAAATATTTCCTTTAATGTTTTTGACATTAGATGTTAACTTAAAAGAATGCTTTCTTATCTAGTGTTTTTAGGAATTTGTAGAGCAGGATTTTTCAGGATCTCTACTTTTTATATTTCCCAAAATGGGCACCTTTAACCCACTCCCACATAACTTCTGCTAACTCCATTTCACTAGAACTATTCTTTCCAAGATCACTAACATGAAGTATACCACAATACCCAACAGATAGTTTGAATATGCAGCCTCTGTTGACTTCCATGAAGTCATACCCTTCGAATTTTTTTCTTTTTTCTGTAAGATAACTCTTTCTCTTTCTCCACTGTTGTTTCTTCCTAGACATGACCTGAAGTGCTACTAATTTCCGAAACATCATTTACTATTTATTTAATGACATAGTAGAGCTTCAGGATATTGGTAGTAATGATTTCTGTGTGGGGCCATGGAGGTAGTTTAGTAGCCCAAAAGAATTAATTAATATTTATGTCTTAAAAATCTTTCAGCAGGAGGAACAGGCAGAGAATATTTTGTATGCTTTAAGTATCTGGGGAAAAAGTGCTAATGATATTTAAATCTCTTCCTAGACATCAGAAAACTCATACTGAGTAGATTTTCTGATTATAGGTATTTTTAAAGAACTCTACAAATTGTTTGCAGCATTTACTGAATATTAGCTAATTCATATTTTCAAAAAAGCTAAAGTAAAAGCAGCATAGTCAGATGCTCACACCAAAAAAAAAAAGGTTCTCTAAAAAGCCCCAAATTACTTCTATGCTGTCAGCTTGATTTCCTACCCTTTACTTTCTTCAGTCTGCACTGAATACTTCCCTTTTCCACTGAAGGTTCAGTTCCTTTCCTTACTCCTGGGGCAATCCTGACTGAGGAGGGCAGAATTTAAGTAATCTTACTTTAACACTCCTCTTATTCCACATCCTTTTTAAGAATTCAGTTGCCTGAAATCCTAGAACCTGATGATTTAGTTACTATTGTGGGGCTTGCTCCTTAGTTACCTCTAGGAATTGTTCTTCAACCTTTCTCATCTCTTCTCTGACTACCCATAGTTGTCTTTTCAAATGTATCTTCCTCATTTTCCAACAAGCAACACTTACCAAAGACTGTGCGGGCAGGGACAGACTCTCTGTTGAGCCAAAAAGACACTTGTGACAGAATCACAGTCATGATACATGGCAAGTAGGTCTGGATTACAAAGTAGCCAATTTTTCGCTTGAGATGAAAATGGGTTGTCATGACAACATATTCTCCTGGAGAGAGAGTAAAATTAGGCAGTATGTAGTCACATAAACATTGTTAAAGCAAGTTGGGCCCTAATTCAGTTCACAAAGTTCCTTATTATATTTAAGACAAGACATCCTAGCACCTCCCAAGCATGTAGTCAGAGCTCTTTAATAATCATGAAATAGTATGTTTTTGGTGTGCCAATATTGCTTGCTCAGAGCAATTTTGGCACCAATACACTTAAATAAATGCATGTTCTCACTTAAATAATATTAAGAAACAATGATCTCTTCTACAGTGCTTGCTTTGTGACAGGCACTCACCTAGCACTTTAACTTTATTAACATATTTAATCTTTGCAACAACCCTATGACATAGGTGCTATTTTACTCTAATTTTATAGATCAAGACACTGAGGTAAAAAGAGACATATGTTCTAATTGGTTTATTTGGTTGAAGCCAAAAGTTTACATAGCAGAGTGTGGGCTGATCAGCAGTGTTTCACACCCAAAGTTTACATCAAATTGTACTCCACCATAATGTATAAATAAAAAGAAGCGATAAAAAGATTTCTACTTATTTAGATTTATTCCCATGTACTTAATTTTTTCTAAACCATGTTAAAATGTTTTATAAATTGCATTTCTCATTCACTGTAGATAAATAGAAATAAACTTACTTTGCTCTGTGGGAAAAAAAACAGTGAGTACTTATTGAACTTTTATTATGTGCCAAACAACAGCCTTCTAAGGCATGTACTAATTATTACATGATAAAATGCAATAGTCAGTTCTCACTTTTCTGGATTTGTCAGTAGTGTTTTACTTGTTATGGATTGAGTTGTGCCTTTCCAAAAAATATACCTTATTTGAAATTAAGACTTTTGCAGATATACCAGAGTAAGAAGAGGGAGATACATAGAAAGACACAGGGAGAGATTGGGGGTGGTTCATCCACAAGTCAAGAAGAGCTAAAGATTGCTGCTGTCCATCAGTAGAAGGTAGGAAGAGGTATGGGACAGATTATCACTGAGTCTCCAGAAAGAAACTCAGATGCTATCCCTTTTCTAGTAGAGACACTCTGTTTACCATCTCCCAAAGAACAAAAGACAAATTCCCCCAATTAGCCCAGAAGACCCCTTAAATCTGACCACACTAATACCTCTCTTATCAGAGTTTCATAATTTTCACTTCTATTACTCCAGCCACATTTCATTGTGGCATTATTCACAACTCAGGCAATTTCCCACTTTCTTACCCTACCCACTCCATTTTACCTACGTCTAGGAAGCACTATCTGGTCATCCAAACCTCAGTATATAATCCATCTTGTGTGTGTATTCTCATCTTAGCTTGTTTACATGGACATGAAAAATACACATAGGCTTATTTTTAATTTAGCAATGATCTCATACAAAACTATGTCATGTTTTCCTCATTATAATTTTGGAGCTACCCTTTTCTTTCTCTCTGCTTCTTTTTCAACCTCTTTGTCCTGTGTGTGTCTATCTACTCATCTCTTTCTGTCTCCCTTTTTCTTTTTCTTCCCTCTCTTTTTCCACTGAAAATGAATTGAAAAATTATTTTTCCTGAAAGTTGGACTTATTAATGATATTTCTGATAATGTGAAATATTTATTTTTAAAAATATTTTATTTATTTTTTAGTTGTAGTTGGGCACAATACCTTTATTTATTTTTATGTGGTGCTGAGGATTGAACCTAGGGTCTTGCACATGCTAGGTGAGTGCTCTACCATTAAGCCACAACCCCAGCCCTAATGTGAAATATTTAATACATAAATGTAAAATGTATTATTCATAAATTACATTCCATGGATCTGAAAGGCAAAGCAAATGCACTTCTCAAAGGCTTATTAAATTTTAACAATTTGTTTTGAGTGTTCTGACATATTTTTCTGCAGTACTATCCTTTTGTATATTTTCTTTCCCTCTGTAATGCTGTCTCCTTAGATAGATAGAGAACTGAAATCTTTTACCAGGTTGGGGAGATTCTCCATCTCTTCCCTTTTAATGCACACTATCTGGGTCCAGAAACAGTAAATAGGACAGTGAAAATCCACTTTTTCATATTCACAGGTATTCATACACAAGATAGTTTTATATGGATGAAAATTACAAATGAACTTTTAGAAAATTTAGCAAAATAATCCATTGTATCAGTTAATTGAATCAGTTTTTAAAAATACAGCTCTGATATTTTGTTTCTCTCCACATTTTTTCTCTGCCAAAGTGAGAACTGAAGCATTAATCAAGTTGGAAGATTTTTTTTCTCACTTCACTCATCCTGTTTTTGCCCTTGTGCCCCAGCTTATTAAGCTTATTAAATGCCATCTGTGTTGTGTGTGAAATACTCAAGGGTACCATATAAAACATAATGCGTATATATTCACAAATTAGTTATTATCTATGGATGAGAAATGCAGAATAGTTGAGTAAATTAATGATTTACATAACTGAATACATCTTTCTGAATTGGACTGTCATATTCCCTCTTTCCTTTTCCCTATTGCTGCCTCTCTCTGTATTTGTTATTATGAAGGATGACCCTTTATAAGTGGTTTGGGGAATTTCTCCCCTGCCTTTGTACTCCAGCCTATTAAGCTCCATCTGTGTTAAATGTGAAATATTTTAAGGTACAGTGTGAAACATATTCTCAATTTGACTAATTTTTAAGGTTGCAAAATACACAAGAGGATTAACTCATTATACAACTTAAGTGAATATATTTTTTAAATCTGTTTTTGGTATTTCTTCATCTTTCTATCTCTGTTCCTTGGTCTTTATCTTGCCTTGTGTTCTTTTTATTTCCATTTCTTTGATCCGTCTTTGTGTATTTTTCAGTCTCTCCCATGCTACATATCTGGAGATGACATACACCAAGATGATAACAATCAAACTATTACTCTAACAAATGATTAAATTTCTAGAAAAGATGGAAAAATAACATCATGTATCCAAACAACTATCCTTCTATAAAATTAATACAATAATTTGCTAAATGAGGGAAAATAGAATTAATGCTGAAAATAGAGAATATTGTCCACAACTAATGGCAGATTTTGAAAAATTTCATATACTTATTTCACACATATTTGATTCTGGAACAAAAAGTCTTCTTACAGCTACTTCATACTGAGCATTTAGAGAGAAACCAGTCATACCAAACAGAATATCTATATACTGTAGGACTTTTCTTTGGCAGAGCCTCCCATTCATATGCTAGACCTTACATGGAGGAACATATTTGGGATTCAGAAGGGAATGTTCATAATTTGTAGTGACAATGAAAATAATATTCATATATGGAAAAGTAATAATACTGACATGGATCCTATAGTAAAACAAAGATTTCCACCCATATTTGTTCCTAAACTACCCATCTTATTCTTTTTCCTCTATGTTATTACGGTTAATAGTTCCTTATTCATATTCCTAGAAATATTATATATATATATAGTTTGTACATGTGTATAGACATATGCACACACTAATTTAAAAGCATTTATCTATATGAATTAAAATAATGCAATACAGAGACAGAATAGACAGCAATGAAAAGAAGATTAAATATGGGCTGGGAGTGTAACTAAGCAGTAGAGTGCTTGCATAGTATACTACAATCTGGAATTATTTCTCAGAGAAGGAGGAGAAGGAAGAGGAAGAGGAGGAAGAAGAAGAGGAAGAAGAGGAGGAGGAGGAGGAGGGATGGAAAAATCCAGACATGGACCTATATGTACATACGTGTATTTGTGCATACATGTGCATGTATGTAGATTTAGTACATGATAAATCCATTGTCATTTTTGGTGTAGGGATAGAACCTAGGAGTACTCTACTACTGAGCTATATCTCCAGTTCTTTTACTTTGAGACAGGGTCTCACTAAATTGTTCAGGGCTTCACTAAGTTGCTGAAGCTCGCCTCAAACTCAGGATCCTCCTGCCTTAGCCTCCTGAGCTTTGGGATTACAGGGATGCACTACTGCACCCAGCTTTAAATCCAGCATCTGAAATCACTGATGAAAAATGAGATAATTTGCTTGAGGGTAATTTACCTTAGTGTAAACCAAAAGGAATTCCAAATGTTTTTGCTCTGTAAATTTTTTAAAAATGGAAACAAAGTACTAAAAATATAGGTTAAAAAAACTAGAGTTTTCTGTTCATAATACCATACTGAGCACGCACATTTATGTTTACTCCTCTTCTTCTTAAGATTCCATTAAACAACAGCAAAGACAGTAAAACAGTACAATCCCATGAGAAAGATAACAACAGGAAGTGAAAGAGCTTAACAAAACTTTGAATGCAGAAAGTGTCCATGGAGGAAACCAGCAGACAAGCAGTCCTGGGTGTGGATGGGAAACAGATGGGGCGCTGCCAACTGGAGAGGCTGGCTGGCAGTACCAGAGAGGATGCAGGCCTCAAGACTGTAGGAACAACTAGGAGAGTGTCTCAAAAACAGGTGAAAAACAGGGTCATTATCTGAAGGTCTATACATAGAAGAGTTAATCTGCCCTACCTCCACATTCACAATGAATATATAAAATATTTATTCTCCTAGCCAAAAGAAACTATAGAGAAATAGGAAAATTAAAGTGGATGATAGGCTCCAAAGAAAGAAATGCAATTCCCCCAAAAGACAATGTTTACAGTCATACTGATACAAAGTCCCCTTGCTGGTTTTCAAATTTTAAAATTAATCTATAGAGTAAGTGTAAAATGATTAATTATGGGTATAGAACTGTATTAGTTTCTCATTGGTATTTCAACAAATTTATGTTCTTATATCTCTGAAGATCAGAAGTCTAAAATGGGATTCTGTGATAAAGTTTTTAATTAAAATTTTTAAATGACACATACTATATATAAATTGTATATATTAATGCTGTTTTTATACACTGCTGGTGGAGCTGCATTCGTTTCTGGTGGTTTTAGGGAAGAGGCTACCCTTTCCTTGCTTGTGGCCCCATTTTTCATCTTTAAAGCCTGCAGCAAAGTATCTTCTAAGTCATTTGCTCTCTGACTCTCGTCTTTCTGTCTCCTCTTGATAAGGACCTTTTGTGATTGTATTGGACCTACCTAGATAATCTAGGATACTCTTTATTTCAAAAGCAATTGATAAGAAATTTTAATTCCATCTGCAATCTTAATATCCCTTGCCTTATAAATTTATATGTTCACAGGTTCTGGAATGGGGATGTGTACATTTTTGGAGGGTCATTATTCTGTCTACCACAAGAACTAAATGTATATTTTAATATGTTTTGACAGTGAAAGCAAAATTTAGTTGGTACATGTAGGAAACAAGAAAGAGATGAGGAAACAACAGAAACTTTGATAGAATAGGAAGTATAGGTGACTCTTATATCCAGCTACCAAGACTTAGAATGAAACTGGTGCAGGAGAGGAATGGTAAGGAGTAATTGAAGTGAGTTATGAACTTGCGTACTTCAGAGTAGGGAATCTATGTTTAATGTCTAAAGGGATAAAGTTAAGGAATAGCACACTATTTATAACTATGAAAGGAGCCACTAAAAGTAAAGCATAAGTTGTTAAAACATTTAATTAGAGCTATGATATCATCATCTTTCAACATGGAATAATAATACTGCCACCTTAGAGTGTTGTTAAAGGTAAAAATGAGTGAAAATACTGTCCTCAGGGCAGTGCCTGGAACATATAATATGCTCAAAATTTTATCATTATCGATTTCACCACTATGTTCACGAGTTTAAAAAAATCTGAAATCAAGGTGTCAGCAGTGACAGGATCCATCTAAAACCCATAGGGGAATCCTTACTTGGTTCTTGCTAGTTTTGTTGTTTGCTAGCAATGTTTAGCATTTCTCCACTTGGAAAAACATCCACCCTATTACTGCCTTTGTGTTTACGTAGTGTTTTGTGTGTTTCTGTGTCCAGATTTCCCATTTTCATAAGGACTCCAGTCATATTGGATTAGAAAGCCACCTTATTGCAGAATGATCTCATTCTAACCAGTTACGTTTGCAATGACGCTGTTTCCAAATAAGGTCACATTTTGAGGTATTGGGGTTAAAATTTCAACATATATTTTGGAGGGACATAATTCAATCCATAATATCCATGTTGCCAAGGTAAGGGGAAAGCAGCATGCTCATACACTGATAATGAGAGTATGAATTGTTTAACCTTTCAGAGTCAGAGTTTGTCAATATGTATTAAATTTTAAAAAAAGTGTCTACTTTCTGAAGTAGCAATCTCAATTTTCTGTCTATATGCTAGGAAGAGAATTACAGAGGAGCAAAATTATATATGGAAAAAGAGGGTCTTTGAGTATTATTCAGAGCATTAAAACACAGAGCATAATAGTAGATAATTGGTTAGATTATGATCTGTATACATAAGGCCACTAACAGTGAAGATGTTATTTTGCTAATTTTCAAACTGAAACACTACACTTCCCATTGACAACAACACATATCACATCATTATCAAGAATTCTCCAGCCTTGTAAGAGAGCATTTTATTTTTTATTTGAAATAACCAAAACTGGTAATAAAGAACACGTGTTCATTCTAATTGTCAATATACTGTTACTAAATTTTGTGTATATTTGGGCCATTACATCTACTAACATGAAAACATGTTTAAAATATAAAACTAATTTAAAAGCAGCATATAAAACAGTATAAAGGGTATGGATCCACTTACATAAAGCATATTTGTGAAAAATACAAAGAGAATGTTCTTAAATATCAAAATGTATAATAACCAGTTAACATACAAAAATCTTCTAAGAAGACTTTTTCCTAGAAAGTGGAATTAAAGAGTGCAGTTATACCTCTATATCCCTGACTGCTCAAGTCCCTCATATAAAACTGCACATTATTTGCATAGAACCTGTGCATGTCTTCCCTTGTGCTTTACCTCATTTCTAGCTTCCTTATATCTGATATAATGTAAATGCTATATTTATAATTCTTATCCTGTATTTTTTAGCAAATAATGACAAGTAAAATGTCTGTACATGTTCAGGGCAGATATAATTTTTTTTCAAATATTTTTTATCTATACTTGATTCAGTATAGCAGATATAAACCCCAGAGACATGGAGGGTTGACTGTATTTTAGTTTCCAATATTGGCTCCTCTATGTAGTTTTAATTTTAATTTTCCTATCATGAATGTGTATTGTCCATGTGATAAAGGTGGAACAGTGGTTTTAATAAATGAAATGGCATCTGAGGCTGTGTGGATAGCAAACAACTGATCTTAAAAGTTGATGCCAGTTGGGCAGTGCAGAGGAGGGACTGGGAAGTAAGGAGAGTGGATTGATGGATGAAGTACTCTGCCTGGGGGTGGAAATATCAGCAGCCCTGGGCAGGCCCTCACTAAAGGCCTTGCTGGCTGTGCTGCACCCAGCTGTTTTGTGCTGTGCTGTGCCACATTACAACATGGTTTCTCTTACCTCTAGCCTTTGTGGGAAAGAATAGCCTTTCCCACACCTACTTCTAGATTTCTAAATCCATTTTGTCTCTCAAATACATTTGAAATGGCACCTTTTTTAGGTACCCTGCCCTGGCCCTGGGGTTGAGGGAAAATGGAGAGCAGAGAACATGACATGCTATGACATCATGAGATCACAGCTTATGGTCAGATAATGAAACAAAAGTACAAAATACACTACTTTTTTTCTAACTGGGGATTCACAGAGACAAGTGCTGCTTGAAAAATTAATGTTGAAAGCTCCCATCTTTTCACAGCAAAAATATTATGTGATAATTGGGTTTCAGAATATATTCCATTTTGCCAAACACTTTAATATTAATTGGAATTTCATGGTATTTCCTTCCTTGGGACACTAGAACAGGCCAGTTTACAAATGGGAAAATCTTAAGACTACAGAACAAGTCTCCAGTTCCATTTGTTAAAATGCAAAAACTAGCTATTAAAAAGATCTGGTAGGGGCTGGGAATGTGGCTCAAGCGGTAGCGCGCTCGCCTGGCATGCATGCGGCCCGGGTTCGGTCCTCAGCACCACATACAAATAAATGTGTCCACTGAAAACTAAAAAATAAATATTAAAAAAGTTCTCTCTCTCTCTCTCTCTCTCTCTCTCTCTCTCCAAAAAATAACCACAAAAAACAAAAAACAATCTGGTAGATTTTGCAAATAACATTTTTTTTGAAGGGGTGAAATAAAAAATAATTCCATGGCTACTCCCTGGACCTCCTAGCTATGTGCCTGACCTGTACTGGGGTTATTAACTCACTACCTCAGCTTTCCCAACACTTTGTTTGTTGTCTCTTCTACCATACTCCCTTGACTTCCCCCCCCCCACAAAAGCAGCAGGACACTATGGTTAAGAGGAATTTAAGAGAGGTTGGGTTGCAGCTCAGTGGTAGAGCACTTGCTTAGCACGTGTGCAGCCCTGGGTTCAATCCTCAGCACCATATAAAAATAAATAAATAAATAAATAAATAAATAAATAAATAAAATGGATTGTGTCTACTTGCAACTGAAAAAATATTTTAAAAAGACAGAATGAAGAGTCAATCTGCCTGGGTTTAGATTTGGGCTCTACTATTACACAGCTCTGTCATGGGGCAAATCACTGAAGTTTTTTATGTCTCAGTTTCCTTTGTCATGACATTGTTTTGAAGAATAAATATTATAAGCACTTAGAACAGTGTTTGGCATGTGATATATGTTATGCAAATGTTTGTTAAATAAAATAAGTAAATACCTGTACTTGACCGAATTATCTCTGTCCCAACAACATGGCCCAATAGGTCATACTGATTCAAGCGAGAACCATCCTGTGCCACTTCCACAGATTTGTTCTTCCCAAGAGTCCAAGAATAAACCACTTCAGCTGTTGTATAGGCATCTAAGACAGAGAAGAGTCAAGGTGAAGTTGAAGGGAAAGGAAAATGGTTATTTATGATACTGATATTGTATGAGATTTAAATATATCTTGTACCCCCAAAGAGTTCTGGGTATGTGTTCTGTCCTTAACTGAATTCATCCATCTACCCAACACTCATTGAATGATTACTACAGTGCATGCCATATTCATAGTAATGAAGCCAAAATAGTCTCTTCCTTCAATGACTCACAGACTTCTAGACTGATAACCAGTCTCCTTCTCTTTTAGGGTAGAATGTAGGGACAGGGAGAGGAATGACTATAATGTTATCTCATGCAGACATCACAAACTCAAATGTCTATGGGAGCCAGAAAAGCTACTTTGAATGAGTGAATCACACTAGTTCTAAGAAAAATACATTGCCAGAAAAGTAATAAAGTTTTCTTTTATTCACTATGGGTGATAATATGAGATGAAGCAAAAAAAATCATACTACTGATATTTTAGATTAAAAATAAAAATCCAAACTTGAAATACCAAGAATTAATGATCACAATTTTCTTTCATAACTTATTTATTACCATTTTGATGTGCAAATCAGAAAACTGAAATCTTTTCTTCTTCATGAGGGTGTTAATGTTTTATCTGGAATTCCAATGTCAACTACAGATTTTATACATATTAACCTTAAAAGGGGTGTAGGTAAGGGAAATGTCAGTATCTTAAAGGAATGAGTTGATTCCTTTCCAGACACAATTGACCTTTTTGCTCAGTGAATTTCTTTGCCCTGCCTATCTCAGGCACTTAGGTTCATAAATGGAAACTATTCACACTGTTCACCTTTTTCCTACAAGCTTTAAGCTATGTTGTTCAAGTTAGTGAACGGAAGTGTTTTCAGCTCCTGGTGGCAACTGCTATGTTCATAACGTGGTCTATTGGAATATTTTGCCACAAATCAGGTGTGAATCTAACAGTGAACAAATGTAAATTCTGGGTCCCTGAAAAACTTGGCAACGCTGGATGCATATTTCATAACAAGTCTACGATCTGTTTATATTATACTTTTTTTTTTTTACTTAGGCTTTTTTCCTCCCATTTTTAATTGGTGCAGTATTGTTGTATATATTGATGGGATTTGTTTTTAAATATTTGTACATGCACAAATATAACAATATAATTTGGCCAATATCATTCCACAGCATTCCTCCCCCACCTCCTTACCTCCCACCCCTTTTCCCCTTTTCTCCACTGATCTCCCTTTGATTTTTAGGAGATCTACCCCATTTTTGTTTTATTTCTTCCTCTCTAGTCTCTGTATATGAGATAAAACATACAATCCTTAACTTTCTGAGTTTGAATCATTCCACTTAACATAATGGCCCTGTTCCATGCATTTTCCTGCAAATGCCATAATTTCATTCTTTTGTATAGCTGAATAAAACCCCATTGTGGATATATACCACATTTTCTTTACACATTCATCATTGATGGACACCTAGGCTGGTTCCATAGTTTGGCTATTGTAAATTGTGCTGCTATAAACATGGGTTTGCATGTACATTATACTTTTTAGGAGCTTTTTCAATATAGCTAAGAAAACCTTTTACTGATTTGCTTAAAAGAATACCATGCAAAAACTTCTTCATTCACTTTAAAATTCTCATTGACATCATGAAAAATGTGTATAATTCTATGGCATTTTTTATATCTTTGCTGTCATAAGCTGAAAATAAAATGTCACAAGAAATTTAACTTTTCAAAATAACTTGCCCTATATATGGCCTCAGTCATTTCTTCAATGCACCAACAATACTCCTACTTTTATACATAATTTCTGTTGTGCTATAGAGATATTTTTATAATTTTTTCATCTGTAAAATATTTTGATGCCTGAGAAAACTTATTGCTGATGACATGACTGCATTTCCCAGCAGCAACACCTAGGGTATACATTCAAATACAAAACTTGTTGAACTTTCAGTCTGTTCTTTAAATTAATATTTTTATTGTACATCTTTTCTATGCAGTAGTTCCCCACCCCCACCTGTGCTTTTGCTTTCCAAGGTTTCAGTTACCTTAAATTAATGCAGTCCAAAAATATTGAAGGAAAATCACAGAAATAAACAATGTATAAGTTTTAACCTACTTGGTGTTCTGAATAACATAATGAAATCTCATGCTATTCCACTTCTTTCTGCCTGGGGCATGAATCATCCCTTTGTCAGTTGTATACAGGCTGTGAATGCTACCTGCCCATTAGTCACTTGGTAACCATTTTGATTATTGAATCAACTATTGTGATATTGTAGTACTTGTGCTTAAATAACCCTTATATAGTAGCCTAACACTCACCTCACATCATCTCATCATGTAGGCATTGCATCATTTCACATCATCACAAGAAGGAGAAGGATGAGTACAGTACAATAAGACATTTTGAGAGACAGAAAACACATTTTTATATTTATTTTTTAGTTGTAGTTGGACACAATAACTTTATTTTATTTATTTATTTTTATGTGGTGCTGAGGATCAAGGCCAGGGCTTCACACATGCTAGGCAAGCGCTCTGCCACTGAGCCACAATCCCAGCCTCAAAAAAGCATATTTATATAATCTTTATTCAGTAAGTATATTGACAGAATTGTCTACTTTATTATTCTTTATTATTGCTAACCTGTTACCATGCCACACTTATAAATCAAACTTTATCATATATATGTATGTATAGGAAAAATTCTATACCTAGATAGAGTTTGGTACTATCCATGGATTCAAGGATTGGAAGTCTTGGAACATATCCCACTAGATTAGATAAGGGGTGATTTCTGTATATCAACTGTAGTTTTCTATAATGGATGGAATAATTATAATATTTGAAGTTTTATCCCTTCAGCAAAAGTATACTTTGTATGCACAGTAAAGATGTAGAAATATTTTTCATTCCTATAAGGAAATGCAAACTCTCCCATCTGTTTTGAAACATAGCCACCTCAGTCTGTGTCTTATTTTTTTTAATGATAAGTATAGATACAAGAACTATTTCGTCTTAAATTCACTAGTAGATTTTAATTATAAGCAAAATGAGAATGCAAATAAGTTGATTAATAGCAACTGATATTGGAGCCTGTTTGCAGGGAGAAGGAAAAAGTGATGGTCAGAATCATGTGTCCTGGGCAAGCATATGCACATCTACAAAGGACAGGACTAACCAGCCTTAGTCAATTGCAGCCATATAAGATTTAAGCCCAGTGTTGTCAGATACTCTGATTTCATGAAATCATAAACATATCTGGAATTTTATGAGATAATATCTTAAATTTCAAATCTTGGCAAATAATTTTAAAAGTAATTAACACATATTTAGATCAAACACATTATAGATGCAGTCCCAATTTGTAACATCTGGCCAAGAGACTTCCTCCTATATGTGGCTATAATCTCTTTTGATTCAACCTTGAAAACAAAGAATCCTTTGAGGCCCATTGTGTATCTAGGACTCCCACCTGGAATTGTAGCTCTTTAAACCATTATCATGAAGAAGAAAGGAAAATCTCAGGAATGTTTCCATACCATTGCCTAAAATATTTTCTGATATCATGTGAGATTGTCACAGTGCTATTAGTGAAATGTGATCTCACAAGATGTTGTCTTCTAATTTTTTTCCTAGTGCCTTTCATCTTGTACCTATGCTGGAGTGCCCTGTACCCCTAAGCGAAGAACCAGCTGTATATATCTTCTTATCTTTGCTATTCTGGTGGTTGCAACACTCTCTATTTAAAGAGCAATACAGTCTTCCAACTAATCTACCCAAGATTTTGTTAGTTAGTTGGTTGGTTCTAGGGATTGAACCCTGGGCAACCATTGAGCCACCTCCCTAGCCCTTTTTATATTTTATTTAGAGTCAGGGTCTCACTAAGGTGTTTAGGCCTTGCTAACTTGCTGAGGCTGGTTTTAAACTTTCTATACTCCTGCCTCAGTCTCCTGAGCAGCTGGGATTATAGTCATGCAACACCGTACCTGGCTACACAACTTTTGACAATGTGAAAACTACAGCAGGTTTGTTCAAGGAAAGGATAAGTGAAGGAAGATTTTTTCTCACTCTTAAGAAAAATAAAAATTCTTACTGGATTTCTAACTGAGGCTGAGTACCTGGAGCAGATATTCCTGAATGCTAACCCTCAAAATCCTAGCAGGCCCTACTTCAGATGTGAAATTATATTGTGCATCTAACAGTGTCTCAGAAGCTTCACCGGGCCCAGAATGGCAAATTGCTTTATGCAGAAAAAAATATCAATTTCTTTGTCAATAATATATGGAAACAATCATTTTGTAGATAAAAAATATTATCTTTTCATAATATGGAGATCAAAGCAGGAAAGGCATGAACTAACGAAGGGAGAGAAGTAAAGGGAAAAAATTTTAAAAAAAAGTTGAGAGCTGATGGTGTAGTTCAATGGTAAAACACATGCTTAGAGTGCACAAAGTCTTGGGTTCCATTCCAGCACCAAAAATTAAAAAAAAAATTAAAAGATGGAACAAAGAAAGGGGATGGGAGAAGGACAAAAATGAGAACAAATTGAAAGATACTTGATTGAATCTCTACTTGAAGCCTGACCCTATACTGGTAAACAAAGAATAAAAAGGCACAGTAACCACAATTAAGGAGCCCACAATCCATTGAAGGGGAAAGTGTACAACAGTTACAGTGGAAGTTTGAGCATAAGAAATGTGTGCACTAGTGAAACAAAAGCAAGTGTTAAGTGAAACCAGAAATAAGCACTATTGTTCCTGCTCAAAGTTGAATGTTAAAGAAGTATTCATAAAATAGATGATACTCACAAGATGAGGTCACTTTTAGGAGATGGAAAAGGGCAATCTTAACCAAAAAACAACAGAACAAAGGACAGGAGTACATTGTACTTAAGTTGTCACAATCTTATCAGTTGACTTGGCTTAATAAGTGTGTGCTAGTATACCTATATGTTGCTGACAGTATATCATTCTTGAAAATTAAATATA